TTATTTAACTAACTATATCTGTTTGTTTGTTTACTTTTCAATTTACTAATGATTTGCAGATGTACGGGAAAGAGTTAACTTTATGAAAAGTTGTTTTAAGAAACTAAAGTTGTTTTTTTCTATTTCACCTTTGTGCTTAATGCTAGACTAGATGTTGACTTAGTACAATTTTGTTATAAACCTAATTTTTCTTTAGCTCAAGTTTGGTTTTGAGGATTAGCAGAAAGAGTTTTGAAAATGTTATTAATTATAATACTATTTTCTTGTATATAAAATTATATAAAATAGATATATAAATACAATAATCTAAAAATTATATATAACAACAACTCTTTCTGATGATCATTTATATCAAAAATTTTTAGGAAAATTTCAATTCAAAAAACAGTAAACTAGATATAAAATAAGAATAGAAGTATATATAGCTAGAAGATAGTTTTTACTATTTAAAGATAATTTTTATATACTATCTGCCAGTAGGCTCAGAGTTTATCATTTACTGCAGGGATAATATCTGTCATTTAGAAGTAGTTCTTATATGCTACTTGCTAACAAATTTAGAGTTTATCACTTATCAAAAAGAAAGAGTTGCCTCTAAGCTAAAAATACCTAGCTAGTGCTTTATTTTTTGCAAAGCTTTTTTTTGCTAAAAAAAAATTTTTAAATATACAATTTTCTATATAATTTCACTACCCACTTTTTCTAGCAACAAAATTTTTTAAAAAAAGTAGACAAAACAGTTTACTTTATCAAAATATTGGCATTGTTTACTTCTTTTAAATTTAGATAATACAGTAGATAGCAATCACATGTTTGGCCTAAATAAATACAATATTACTTTTTTGAATTGACTCTAAATTAAGATACCTCTAGTGGCAACAGCAAGTGGCTTGAGATATAGATCCTTGGATAGTAGCAGCACTTGGCTTGAGATATAGACTAGTAGTAAATCGATTGAAACTTTTAGACTTGGTTATTATATTAAAGAGATTCAAAAATAAGGCAAAGCTTTATAATAGAGATATACAAATATTGCTTTAAAGTAGTATATAATTTTTTTTAAGCCTTGGCATAGATAATAATAGTGCTATATTTGTTACCTGTTTTATATTAGCATAACAGAAGTTCAATTTTATTGGCTATATATGTGTAAATCACAAATTTTAAATTATTAAATATGATTAGCTAATAAAATTAATAGAATTTTATATTTGTATAATCTTGTTAATTAAAAATTTTGTAGCTAAATATTCATCACAAATAGAGCAGTATTTTGTATAATTTCTACATAGTTAAGTTTACATGTGATTGAAAGAGTGTAAATTGTTGTTGTAATCTGGTTTTGTTATATTTAAGCTTTGTTATGATTAAGTTTACTGTAGTCAAACTTCAGTAGTTAAGTTTTCTAAATCAAGTTTCACCAAGTTAGGTTTTGCTGGATCAAGTTTGTAAGCCAATTTTTGCCTTGGTTAGATATTATTAGTTGGCCAAGTTTCTTCAAAACTTTTTATTATTGCTAGAGTTAGGTTTCTCTGGGTTAAGTTTTTCCAAGTTAAGTTTTTCTGGATCAAGCTTCTTCAGAATAAAGCTTTCTCAAAATCAAGATTTTAGTAAGTTTTATTATTCCTATTTTTCAAGGCACAAGAAATATTTATTATTTGTGACAACTAATTATTTTTATCTAAAAATAAAGGCAAAATTTTATACAAAAATATCTACCAAAAATTTGGATTCTTGTTCAATTATTGGTTGTATGAATACTAATGTTCAATTTTATATAATTATAGTACTTGCTTACAAAAAATACAAATATTAAAGACGTATCTTTACCTTGAGGTTGAAAAACAACTATACTATCCACATTATTGCAAACTAGTAGAGCTATATATCAAAAAATATGTTCAACCTGAAAATGTACTAGAGCCAATAAATCTTCAATCAAATAATTCAATTAATATATTTTATTTTAGATTTAATTTTTTTTTATAAATTATTTATTTTATATATTTATATATTTTTTATTAATTTAAAAATAGAATACATTCACTTCAAGTATAGATATGCTAACTAAAATATTATACTGTCAACAATGCTAGAAACATATTAGTTTGAAATTGGATCTGGTAAATTTCAAATAAATAAATAAAACAATTAATCTGGGTCTTAAAGGTTTTTTAATTTTATGACAAAAGTAATTATTTCTAAAAAGCACTCTGCTTATAGCATAAGTGAAGCTAAAAAATCAGTAGTTGGGTTGTGCTATTTAATCATGAGTTTACACAATAAATTTGTAAACCAGTATAAATTAGAAGTAGGGTTGTATTTAAGAGTATTAGATACAATGTGGAAGGCGATTAATACAATATCAAGTCTTGGATATTTGGTATACACCAAAACAGTAAATATATACAAAAAAAAATTCAAAAAAAGCATTTAGCAAAAATTGATAATTATTTTTTAGAATATATAATACTGTATTGTATTTTATTATATAATATATTAAAATATATTTATTAAATAAATTCATATTTTTAATAAAATAATTTTTACATTTACAATATTGATAACTATCACTTTATTCACGAGAACTATAGACCTAATATGGTATCTACTTCAATAGCAAACTATTTTGGTACATATATAACAAAACCTATCATAGGGTGCTCCTTTGTACTACTTATATTTAATAGTATATCCCAGCAAATATAAAGATGTCGAAAATTTGTTAGTACTTGCTTAATTAATATACTAGAATATTTGATATTTCATACTTGGATTATTAGCAATTACAAAATTGTATAGTTAATAATAATTTTAATCTAATTGAACTGTTAATAATATATAGTTATATAAATAATATAGAAAAACATAAAGAAAAGTGATTAATAAAAAGACTTTAGCTTTTAGGATTTAAGAAACAAAATTTATATTTTGTACAAGATTATGTTAGTGCATTAAAACTTATATTGTCAATAAATAACTAGACACAATATTTGAATAAGCGAGTTGCACTAGTTGTCATGAACTGGCCTGATCAGATTTATTAGAAAAGCCCTATATATGCAAACATTACCTGAGTTATAGTCCTTATTTTTGCAACAAATTAAGTCTTTTTTGCTTATTTTAGACCTGCTTTATATATCTTTTAACAGTAGAGAGCAAGTCATTATAATACACCACTCTTTTTTGAAAATTGTTTTACCATGTATTTGGCAAAAATAAAAAATTAGCCAAGAAGCCTTGTTTTTAATGAGTAAACCTTTTATTAGAACTTGTACAAAATGGCTAGATAAAAATTAAAAACAAAATTATTAAAAAATTTGGTCAAGTATGCAAAGACATTGAGTATTGAGCTGTAGTAGATCTGCTTAACAATTTAGTCTCAGTAATACTCAACATCTATGCAATTCTGTTTTGATCAGGTCAATTTAGTAAATATGTAAAGACAATTTTCCATATTTGAATATTCACTTTGTGCTAGAAGCAAAAGAATTATAACAAAGTGCCTTTTGTATTCCTATCTGATTTATTTTACTAAAATGATACTAACCATTCTTTTTTAAATGTATTACAGAATTATTTAACATGTTTTAATGAATATTATGTGAAAAATATACACAGTAAAATTAGAGCCAATATATCCAAAAACATATTAGTATATAGCAAGCCTATTTTATTATAAATTATGATCCTACATTTAAAAACACCTACTGCAAGACATGATGGTATTTATATAATACAAAGATATTAAACTTTTTATATAATAAAATGGCACTTTTTCTTGTACAATATTTTTAATCTATTTTTTATAATCACAGAAAAAGTATCTTAAGATCTAATAAAGATAAAAAAAAAAAAACTACCAACTATATATTATCTTGCTACTTTAAAAAAAGATATACTTCTCAATAGCTTATAGTATAGTGTATTTTTCATGTCTAGGATTATATAATTCTTGTGAGCATTTACTTGTTGATAAAAATGGCATAGTATTTGTTTGCAGCTATGGTTATTATAATAATTGTTATAGTAGAAAATACAAATATTGTATTGAGTTTTATAAAAAAAGAATTTACAAAAATATTCAAAAATTTTTAACTCAAATCAAAAAAGAGGCAAATATATTTACCAAGAAAGATCTTGATAATGACAACAATGATATAGAAAGTAATGAGGAAGAATTTAAAGAAATAAAAAAGGTTAATATTTCATCTAGATTAATAGTGAAAATAAATCAAATAGAGTATTAGTGACTTTTTTTTTTTTAACAAAAAAAAAAAAGAAAATATAAAGAAGTATCTGCAGATTTAACTAAATCATTAGAAATTGAACCAAATAATGCATAAATATTGAGAAACTTATCGATTAATACTATATATATAGTAGATATAAAAAAAATGCTTATAGACTTAAATAAATCATTAAATTTTGAATTAAATAATTAACTTGCTTTAGAATTTCATAAATGCTATACTAATTAACTTTTTTAACTTAAATAGCATAAAATTAAAATTTTAAAAATAATTAATAATTATTAATATTTTTTTAATAATTGGTTTAAAAATATTAATATAACTTATATAGAAGAATCAAATAATAATAATTAGACTTAACATACAAAGCGGATTTTAAATTCTTGTACTATAAGAGCCAAGTATATAGTAAGTAATATAAAGTGTTTTCAATAAAAACAGCCTATTTTTATATATATCTCATTTTGAGATAATTAAGTTTAATTATTTGTTTTGATTTTTAGACTAATTCGGGATTAATCAAATTCTATGATTTTGATTGGTTAAAGATAATAGGTGACTATTGAGTAATCTCATGATGTGCTTGACCTTAGACAGTCTTGTGTAATTTTTTTTTTATATTATCTCTATTTTTTATTATGCAAATCGACTTTCATTTATAATTAAAAAATGTCTATCATATCAAAATTTACATGAATCTAATAAAAACTTATTTTTCAAAAAATTGTAAAAATAGGCTGTTTCTATTGATAACACCTCATATTGTAAAAAAATTTTATCTTCTTCTAAACACCAAGTCATTCTACTTTTCTAAGAAAATAAATATTAATAAATTTCTTAACAAATATAATTTACCACTTTTCTTATTATTTTAAATTTTTTAATTATTCTTTTATTATCTACTCAAATATTTTTTTAACTTTACAAAATCTTAGCTATTTTTTAATTTATAACTTTAACTTTATTTTAAACTTTATTAAAATTTAAACTTATATAATAATTAAACTAATTTAATATAAAACAAAACAAATCATACAATTATCTTTTCTTATTCTTGTACCTAAATACTACTTCTCTTTTATCTTTACAAAATCTATATTCTACCTACTTTCTGCAATATTTTTACTACTAACAACCTTGCCAAATATTTTTACTTGACACAATATTTTTATTTTTTTTAATCTTTGTAAATACTTTGTTCTCTAATTAAGAAAATATTTCAAAACATGATTTACTTGCTTATTTTCACAACTATGTTCTAATTTCTAATTATGTATATAATTATTTATTTCTTCTAATTTTTTTTTTTACAAAATTTTTTTCATTTTATAAACTATATTATTTTATTTCAATTACTTTAAAAAATATATCTTATTACTAATTTATATACATTAATATAAATATATACCACTATACTCTTGAAAATTTAACTCCAAAAAATTCATAGAGATAAATATTTCTAGCTTTCTGCAACTTTACTTTGCAACATAAGTATTTTCTCTTCATATATTAAACCTACAACTTTATTTTGAAATAAACTATCTACTTTTTTTAGTAGCAAATTTTACTTAAAACTTCTTTTCAAATAGTTTTTAAAATAACTATTTTATTTAAAAACTCTAAACAAATCCTAAATTTAATACAAATATATATTATGTAATATAAAATTCTCTAACAAATCAACACATAGCAAAAAATTTTATATAATATAACTCTTCCTATAAATCACTTTACCAAAATAGGAACAAGAAGAAAAAACTTTCTTGCAAGATTATTTCAAAAACTTACTAAGTAAACAGTTATTCAGCTCTTAAGTAAAGTTACTTAGACCCTCTAGTTGTACTTAAAAGAGGTGTATTTTTTTTAAAAAGCTCTTTCCCATTAAATAAATAGCAATAAACTCATCAAAAGACAAAAAACTAGTTTTTTTATCCTTCTGCAAAAGTGGCTATAAGAATAGCCAATATTTAAACAGCCCCGCCTCAAGCACTACCAACCTGATATACAAAAACACCAAGAACTATTACAACACCCAAATTACTAAACCTCAGCGCCCCAGCAAAAATATGATCTCTGAAAGCTCCACTTCCTTCTTTAGCTATTTTTCTCCATCCCGCAGGCCTGCACAACCTAGTAATAATCTACCTGGCACCACACCACCAACTCTAGAAACAGAACACACAAAAAATTTCATTGAAATTACTATTAAAGACTGGTCCAAACTTAGCTTTACAATTAGCTTCTCCATTCGGGAACATGCCAACAACTTCCTCTTCTATATCGATATTACCAAATCAGGAAGAATCCCAAATTTGGCAAATTACTTTCCTCAATGGATTTGCAAACATGAAGATATTACCCAATCAGTCTTTTTCAACCTCATGACACAGAAAAACAATATTGTCAATATTAGCACCAAACTTTTCAAATCAACTCATACTTGTGACTTTAATACAACTATACAGGCCTATGAAGGTAATATGAAACTATACACCAAGGCTAAAAGTATCCCCGACCTGCCCAGAATCCTATACAACTCTATTACACAAATTGAATTTGACAATGAGTCTAACAAAAGCAACAGTAAACACAACACATACCTCTTAGCCCTCAAGGAACTGGTACCACCATATGATCTAGCTAATGACCAAACAAACACAAGCACAGCCACAAACAGTAATGCTGACAAAGACACAAACCTCCACCCAACCATCACCATATCCCCAATCAATACCGTCAGTGATACTATTACTACTACCCACTTTACACCCAGACCTAGCATACCTCCAGGCCAAATTACCACACCCAATGCTAGTATCAATCATAAAAGAGCTTGAAATATATCATCATTAATTACAACCTCCAACAAGGCTGCCAAAGTACTTTCTAGTAGCTCCTTTACCACCTCCAGATCCCCTACAAACAACCAGGCTTCTACAACCAAATTATCATACAGCCAAATTACCAAATCCAACCTCAAATTACTGGCCACAATCGTATATAGCAGAATTTCTACACCCCTCAATACCCCCTTTAATACAGAGATCTGGATATACAATGCTATTGCAACTGCACTTACTATCCCAGAAAGCATATACAAACTCATCTACTACAAGCTAACTACTATACCTACTCAATTTAAATTGCCAGAAGCAATCTTTCTAAAATTTGTATACCTTGACACCAGATTCTTTACAACATTTACCCACAACCCCAAAATCATACCCACACATCAAAAAGAATATATCAACCTCTTTGACAAAGCCCTTACAGTATATAAAAAAGATAATGAAATTACACTTACCAACACTACAACCCGCAACACTATCCACACAATGCTCAAGAGGATGCTCATCTCACAATACATCTCTAACCTCAACTTCGCAAGCATCACACCAAGGCAAATATACAGAGTAATTTAGTATACTAGAGGCTTTCTACAAATCAAAAACCCAGATGAACAGACCCTCAAAGAAATTAAAACCCAAATCAATAATATATTAGAAAGCAAACTAATGCCACTTCCAGACATGCCTGACCAAATTCCCACAAAAATCTAAAACATTATCCTGTTTAAGCTTTCAATTACACAATGGTCACACACAAGAGCAATAGTCAATGCTCTGAGAAGAATCTTCAAATTTTTAGAGTTACCAGCAACCTACTTTGCTAAACTTCCTTCCCTACCTTCACACTACAGTACTCTCTCCACTAGCCTTTGCCAGCTATTCCTGATCTTACATCAATCCTCTCTTTAGCACCTAGCAGCATATAAAAGAAAACTAGCAAACTACTACACAGTAACCAAAATCCCCAATACCTACTTCAAACTCCCACTCCTCAAAAAGCCCCTCCCTTCAACTTACCAAGAACTCAACCCCGTAGTTCAAAAATACTTCACATTCAACCTAGCTACCTCTATGATTCCTCTTAAAGATGTCATCACTATGCTTAGAGAATACTATATCTTCAAACTCCTACAAATGATTTCTTTGTCATTAAACCCCTATTGCCCAAAAACATCAGCAAAATCAAAACCACTACGAAATTCACTTTTTCTATTATGAATGACACAGAAGCAAAAGAATTTATCAAGCAAGCTTCTACACACTACTGAATCCAGTATCCTCTTCTACCCAAAATTATGCAAGCGAATTCCACCAACAAGCCTCCTCTCTCCACGGCCGAGAAAGTCTTTGAAAGCTTCAATATCTCTCTGCTATCACTATACCACAACAGCTTTCAGCCACTGCCAAATTACTATGTAGCCACTACTACTTCACCCAGCTTCCTACTAGCTGGATCCAAATCGAAAATGCCCAGCCACAAAGTACTACTGAATTAACTACCAATCCAAACCTTCCTAACATCTCTAGCAATATCGAGGAAATCATTAAGGATCTCACCAAACATGAAGTCATCATCTCTCTACTAATCCAGAATCAACCTGACATCATACCTACAATGAAAGTACTCAGACAGCACTACACTATCAAATCAATCCCTGACTTCTTATTAAAACTCCCACCTCTTCCTCCACCCAAGTGGAGCATATTTGACAATATATCTACAGAGCACCCTAATACTCCCAATACTATAATTTCACTTGCAAGTAATACTCTGGCTTTAGAAGAGGCATCTCCAATACTTATACCTATTCCAGATATGGACACTACCATGATCATGACAGAACTACCCATCACTGAACCCACAAAGGCTACAGCTACAATAACCTCCACTATAGCTACCAACATCCTCATTGGTCAGTTCGACCAAATGGACACACTTTAAATTTATAATGCAACACACCACACTAATTTTTCTTCCTCTAACCTTCCTACATATGATACACTAAACCTAAATACCTCCCATTCCAATATCTCCCAACTTACACCTACCCTATACCTACTAACTCTCTCAATCTGTACACACAATGTACAAGGCCTCAATACAAATACCAAAAAAGAAACATGGAAACACTACTGTCTACAACAAGC